GTGTGTGTGTGTGTGTGTGTGTGTGTGTGTGTGTGTGTGTGTACACCATGACACTCCTGAGGTGGCCAGAGGATAACTTGCAGGAGTCCAAGTCCATTTACTCCTTCCAGGAAACAGATTCCAGGCATGGAACTCCAGTCATCAGACTTGCTAGTTGGTACTTTTACCTGCTAACCCACCTTACTGGGCCTCTTCCACTTTTTCATTTTATTTGAGAGAGAAAGAAAGACAGAGAGACAGAGACACAGAGAGAGCTACAGAGAGAGAGAGAGAGAGAGAGAGAGAGAGAGAGAGAGAGAGAGAGAGAGGAGAGAGAGAGATGGGAAAAGAGAGAGGTGGGGTTTCAGAGTTAATGTTAGAAACTCTAAAATGATTTTGAAAGCACATTCATGGTTTGGATCAAAACCAATAAACTCACCTGCAATACTCTCAGTTTTGAAAAGTTGAAAACAACATTCATTCCCTAAGTTAAGAGCTGGTCCCCCCTTAGGAGTGAGCTCTGTTGGGCCCACAGAGATAAAGGGCATGGCTAGGGTGGCACAGTAAGCCAGAGACTGGGGCAGCACACGGTCTTTCTCAAGGGCTGCCCCTCACAGCCCCGCAGGCTGTCACTCTTGCCTACTGTCTTTGATTATCTACTCCAGACAAATGGAAATCCCTGGGCAATCTATGGAAATCTTTGTCCCAACTGTAAGGAATTTTTAAATACATTACATTACAATTTTTTATTGGTTCATATTATTGTACATAGTACATGGCTCTCAGAAAGACCACTCATGTGTCCCCTTGACCATTGAGTCATTGACCATTATTCCCTTCTCACACCCTTCCTGTAGACTGTCTTCCGAAACTCCTCTTCTGTGTTCATGTCATGGCCCCAATTATACACAGTCACATAGGTTCCTGGGGTTTATTAACCATATTGGACGCATCTAGAGAAGCCTGCACAAAAACTCGGTGAGACATTTCCAATTGGTCACTCCGAAAAGAGAAGGATGTGTTTTCTTCCCTTCTTTGCATCCCTAGAAGTTTGGCAGAAGGGTGGCTAGTAGGTGAAGGATACAGAGGAAGAGACTTGTATGTCATTTAGCCAGGGTAGATAAAGAAAAAAAAAAAAAAACAAAAAAACAACAGCATGTGGTTGGGCATCCAATTTGCCAATTTGTGTATCTGCCCATCTATGGAGAGATACTCACTGGTTCTGATTTTTTGTGAGTACCTCCTTTGAGCCAGATACCATGCCAAACTGAACAAGCTCAGGTGATGCACCAGACCTGCACAAGGGTTCATTGCAACCGAGAGACAGGGGAACGGGACAGCTGCTGGGTATCAATAGTCACTCCTACTAGGGACGTGAGTTCTGTCTGGAGACCGCTGAAGAGTCTCCTAGATTGCAGCTGGGTAGGAAGCCAGCAAGGGAATGCTAAAACTAGGCTTGGGCATTGTAGTTATTCCTTTGCTGTGTGGCCTTGAGACATGCCCTGGTTCTCGCCTCCCCACATTCTTCAGCTGTGAGAAGCCATGCTAGATTAGCACACTCTACTTGGTAATGGCATACTTTAGGCACTTAGTGGAGAGCAAATGTAGGGAAAATATGGTTAATATTATCATTGTCTCCAATGAAGGGCTCGGCTCAGCACTAGAAACCAAATTCTAATTCATGATGGCTTTCCTGACTTCTCTCATAAGGGGCTGCCACAGCACCAGTGGACCTAGTCTGGAGGCAATTATAGCCACATCTACCCAGAGGATGCCTACTAAAGGTCAGTATCAACATGGTTTCCTTAGCCCAGTAGCCTGGTAGATTTCTAGGAGAATGAAGTAGCTGGTCTGAAAGGATCATCTGCCCGCACTATAACACACAGCAGATGAATGAGCCAGGATGAAGGGCTGGCCGGCTGAAGGTCAACATCCAGGCTACATCCACTGCTCTGGGCTGGCCCTCATCAGATTAGTAAAAGGGAGATGATGCATATAGCACAGGCCCCACAGATCACATGTTTCACGCACACAGCCACTTTTTGCTTTATTCTTTGTTCAGCTGTTATGGGTCACCATGACCTTGATCCTAAAGAAGATGCTGAGGCTATGGGATGGAAAACTTCTCATCATATATCATAGGATTTCAATACCCTGAAGGGCGAAGGCCACATGGGCAGTAAATACTGCACCATGGGGTGAGAGTCAGTAGAACGATGCTTGCTGTGCCGCTCTTACCCCACTTCCTTTCTGTCCAGACTCCATTGATTCTTCATCCCTCACTTCTCTGTTCATAGGAGCATTGAACTTCCAGGCCCCCTTTGCTCTCTATTCGACAGCTCTCTCCACTTCTCAGTGTCCGTAAGACTTACTAAAGCCCTTCTGCCCAAAGCCTTTCTTCTTTCTGAAATTCTAATGAGGCACAAGATTGCTCATAGCCTAAAACACACATACCATTGTTTTAACCCTCAGCTTAACCGTGGCTTATATCTATGGCTCTACTTACATTCCAAGATCAGAAGTCCAGCATTTCTACTTCTCTTAGCAAAGTAGACAGCTCATGGTAGGCAGTGAACAGGCATCTTTTGACTTGCCATCTTTGAAGCTTGCATAGGAAAAGCTTGGCAGGTTCATCAGCACTGTATAGATAGGGTTACAACACCCAGGCAGTCAGGATGTTGACATATGCAGCAGCCTGTGTTCCCAAAGGGGCCAGAGTGACTTGATATGTAGGTCAGATGGAAGAGAGCTTTGGGGCCTTTGGGTGAGCCTTGTTCCGTCCAGAGTGAGAGGAAGGGGAAAGCTGTAGTGGGCTGGAAATAATACAGCCATGAACATGACCTCTTCATGCTAATTGATCACCTCCAGATGTTGGGGAATCCCTTAGAGGGGGGTAGCCGCCCTCCTCTGTCTAGAGGATAATTGGGCATTCTGCTATGCGATGGAATGGGGCAGGTCTGCTCAGCCTCTTGTTGGTTGTTGGTTTGTTGCTTACTTTGTCAGTTCAGTTTCTGCACCAGGCATCTTCATCTCACTGCTTTCTTGTGCATCTTTGAATGCTGCCCTCAAGCAGGGTCCAGACGAGATCCTCATGCAGTTGAATTTGTTCTTTGAGCCAAAGAGTAAAAGTACCTCTTTTCAGGTTGGCTTGGCTTGTTTTGGTTTAAATCAAACTCAATCTTTTCATCTTCTGGTAAGATCTACAGGTTTCTACATCAGTCCAGATCCTGGAAGCTTTGACTCTTGGAGGGTTCTGTTTAAGCTTTAGCCAGAAGGAAAGCCTGAGCCAAATCTGTTGCTTGGAGATCCCAGGAGTCCCCCGTACAGTGAGAGTTAAATATGTGCACCATTCTAGTAGAAGGTGTGGCTCTTCCCCAGAAACGGCTCTTTTGACACACCTAAGTGCTATGAAAGACTAATTTAGAATCCACCATGTATCAAACTGCTTGCATACCTACAAAGTGTCAGGATCCATGTGGAAGGTTAATGGGGACTATCCATATGGGCCATAGTTTTTAGGTCAGATAAAAAGTAGGTTGCAAATTTGAGGCAGGTGAGCTATTTGTCTGTGGCTTAATTTTATTCTCCAAATATTTCTGAGTTGGGTTTTCTTCCGACCATAAAGTGTAATATCTGAGAAAGCACACACAGTACCTAGCCCAGTATGTGATACCCAGTAGACCACGTGGGTACCGTGTCATTCTGATTGTTATCTCTGTACTCCTCACTGTCATCTCCATTCCCATCACCAGCATTGCCATGTTAGACCCTTACCCTCACCACCCTTATCATCATCACCATCATCACCATCTCATCATTATCACTACCATCCTTATAACCACCATCATGACCACTACCATGACCATCATCATTATCATCATTGCTACCACCGTTATCATCACCATCATTATTGCAATCTGATACCATGATCTCCACCTCCACCATCACCTTCAACCTTCTTGCCATTACCACTGCCAGTCATCACTATCATCATCTGGACTTACTGAGAAAAACCTTAATAGTAAGAGAAAAATCAACTAATATTCTAGAAGGCAGATAGGTTGCTAAGGTAACTGAAGACTGAAACATACCCCAGGTTGAAGAAAGAATTTATGCAAAGACTCAGAAGTATATATAAATGAGCTGGGTTATTTTTAGGAGTTAGCAATAGTTGAAATGACTGTATGTCTACACTTACTGGAGTAAAAGGTGTTGGCATATGGATCTTTTAAAGAGCTGAGGTGTCAAATGATAGATGGTGGTCAAACCCTAGGAGGTCTTGAACAGCACACTAGAAAGCAGAAATAATTAGAAGGTGCTGACAACATTAAGCTCAGCGTGGCCATCGGTGTGAAAGCTCGGTTAGAAAATGGATTGGGGATCTCATGTCTAGAAAGTCCAGGAAGGAGCAGGAACTGAAGGAGGGACCGAGTACTTAAAAGCAATTAACAACAACGAATACAAGGCGGCTGAGGTTATTTTTAAAGGCTATAGAGATAGATTTCTTTCCCCACTACTCTTCTGATAAAAGTACTTCTTGCTTCCTACGTGCGTAAAATAACTAAGCATTTACAGTTCTTCTTTATATGTGTGAGGGGTTATATGGCTGCAGGAACGGCCCTCAGTGAGGGAGAGGTCTGAGATGGTGCCTCCTCAGTTCATTTCTTGTTTCCTTTGCCATGAGCTGGCAGAATGGCAGATATCTGCCTTCAGGGAATAATCGCTTCTAGTAACTGGTATATGTAGCTATGAGCCTTAGGAAATCTGAAAGGACAACAGGAGGGGGGACAGGGGAAGAAGAGGGGTGTAGAGAGGAGAGGAGAAGAGGAATGTAGGGGAGGGATAGGGGAAGGAACAGGGGGAGAGGAGTGTGAGAAAAGAAAAAGTAAATATATAACTTCTTCTGGGGATACTAATGTCCCCGGTTCTATTTTAAAAGATTATAACTTTTAATGTATGCTTCAAGTGTTCAAGAGAACTTCTACTGTGGAACATAAAAGACTCTTGGAAAAAAATTGCTTTCAGTGTAGAGAGCTTTAGAATTGGTGCCAGGAACATAGAGATGAAACACACACTGTCCCTGCTTTGGGGAGTCACATGTCCATCCCAGGACACAGGCATGGACATGCTAGATCACAGGAGTTGTGATGACAGGCACAGGAAACCAGAGCAGAGGCACCCATCTGCCTGGGAGAGCAAGATGAGGGCTTTCGTGGGAGGCGAGAGAAGTCCCGCAGCCCACAGTGGTGGTAATTCGCTTACCATATGCTGACCATATTTTCTGAATCAAAAATCAAGAGACATGATCTGACAGAGACTGTGGTGATGGGACAGAATATTTGAGAGCAAGGCTGTGGCCACCATAATGGACCAGCCCCATGCAAAGAGCAGGCTGAGTTTGATCCACAGAGTAGCCCCAAACCATGGTTCCTGCAGACAGTTCACACCAGTGGAGTCAGGATTACAGTCCCCAGACTTACCTACCTGCCTGGACAATAGTGAGGGTACTTGCCACCTCAGAGAGATCTCCAACCAAAGGAGGGACGCATGCTAGGGTGTTAGCCCACCAGACCTGAAGAGCCTTAGAAGTCACGTGGTCTGAACATCACCTCATCTTGGTGGTAGAGAAACTGAGGCTCAGAAAGGTGTAATGACTCCATGGAGACAGTAAAGCTGTGATGGGACAGGGCTGGGCTGGGAGGTACTCTTACCTCTGTGGCTAGCTTTGAAGACAAACCAATGAGGTCTGTGAACTGGGAGATGACCAGATACTAGCTTTGGCCCCCTAAGTGCCATTTAGTAGACTCTAGCCAAACAATAAAGGCACCTCATTGGATGGCCTTGGGCTCAGATCTTGTAGGAGACCGAGGAAGCTCTCATGTTGGATGTAAGAAAGGCAGAGGGAGATGTGTGGACACCAAGGAGCAGTACTAAAAAGTCCCAAGCACTCTGACTCTCCATAGAGTGTGTGGGTAATCTCCACTGACTGTGGAGCAGGAAGAAAAAGCTCACAGGAACAGGATGGAGCAGGGGCTGCTGGGCAGTCAGGCAAGAGTTCACCTCAGGTGGACCAGTAGGAAATAAAAATCCCCCCGCGTGGGAAGCAAACCCCCACCCACGAACGGGGCTTGAACAGGCACCCAACTGCCAGCAAGGCCTGCAAGCTCTCACTTCTGCTCTCTGACTCAGGAAGGGGCTGTGCTCCAGGAACTTGTGCTGCCAAGAAACACAGAGGGCCTTCACAGCCAAGAAAATGTAAGGCTCCTGCCCAGCATGTGAGAAGGGCAGGGGAGAAAGGAACGGCTTTTTCTCCGCGGCTGACAAGTATCCGCCCAGAACTCAGACGAAAATGCGCGACAGGCCCCCTCCTTCCCCCTGGTGTGGGTGTGGGCTGGAGGGATGACAAGCTGAAAAGCATCAATAGTGTGGCCTGAGTTTGGCTCACGTGTCTCCTCTACTGGAATTCTAGAACAATCCCACCCCTGGGATCCAGAGCTGTCTGTGGGCACTTGGTCCTTGCCAGATGCCGACCACCCACCTTCCTCTCCCCCACCTTTCCTTTTCACTCTCTCCCCTCCCCTCTCCTCCTGTTCCCACCTTGCCCTTTTCCTCTCCCTCCCCTCTTCTCCCCTTCCTTTGCTTCCCCCTTCTTATTTTCCCCATTTCTAGCTGATACACAAAACTGAAATAAACTATACATGAATTACTCTTTCTCAAGTTGCTGTTAGAATCTCTGCTGCTCACATAATACTGGTCTTTCTCAAGAAAAAAATCCATATATCTGGGGACCACTTGGCTCCATGTCCATCTTCCTTGGTGTCCTCCCAGGTGGGAGTCGATAGCCTTCTATGTGAGCCTTTCCTGACTCACACCCTGGCCAAGTCAGAGACCACTGATCTGGACCATGTCATGAAGCTTTCATGGTCCCCAAGCTGGCTTGTACTTCATACTTGGTAAGGGTGAGGCCTGACTGGACTCTGTGAGGGAGGAGTTCTTCAGCTCCAGTGGAGGGTTGGTGAAGCGAATTCATAGAAAGCTGAAGACCTTCCAATGGCCAGGCAGCTCTGGAGCCAAGTGGGAGACAGAGAAAGTCCTTCAAAAGAGTGGTACCAATGAGAGTCCAAGCTGGGATGGATGATGCTGGCTGTTATCTATTCAGATGACAGAGGCGGGGAAGGTAGAGGAAAGAGAAAGAGGAAAAGAAATGAGAGAAAGAAAGAGAGAGAGGTGGGGGGAGGAGAGAGAGAGAGAAAGAGAGAGAGAGAGAGAGAGAGAGAGAGAGAGAGAGAGAGAGAGAGAGAGAGAGGTGTCCATTGATTCTAGAGTGCAGATAATGTGACATGCTGTTCCCATGTGTATGGGCTAGAGGAGGTTCTGAAGATTTGAGGCTTCCGCACAGACTTGGGTGAAAGAAAATTGAAAGATCACACCCACACCATATGTGCACTGATTTGTGTGGTAGACAGAATCGCCACCCAAAGACATCCAATTTCTAGTCTGTGGCCCAAATGAATATGTGAACTCACGTGGGAGAAAGGAATTTTCAGATGTAAACCATGGCCTGGGAGATGGGAGATGATCCTGGGCCTCCCAGATGGCCTCAGTGTCGTCATAAGAGACGTCCTTAGAGAGGAATGAGAGAGGAGGTCAGAGTCAGAGAGCGGGTAATAATGGGAGCGGAGGTCAAGATCAGAGTGATGCACTTCATGGAACGGGCCATGAGCCCGTGAAAGCAGAAAATTCTGGAAAAGGCATTGTGCAGGTTTTCCTCTAGACCCTCTTGGAGGGGCACAGCCTGACCAGCACTTTGATCTGTAGGTCCACCTAGGACTCCGGACTCTGCAGAGAATGTCCTAGTGTGTTTTCCTGTTACTGTGGTGAAACTCTAACCAAAAGCACCTTGGAGAGGAAAGGGATTATTTGATTCAGACTTCCATGTCACAGTCCATCATTGAGGGAAGCCAGGGCAAGAATCCTAGCAGGTACAGCAGAAATCATGACGGAACACAGAGGCTTGCTTTCCCCTGATTTGCTCAGCCTGCTTTCTTATGCAGCAGCCCAGCACCACTTACCCGGGGTGGCACCTACTACAGCGATCTGGGCCCTCCCGTATCAGTCAGCAATCAAGAAAATGCCCGCCAGACATACCCACAGGCCAGACTGATGGAAGAAATTCATCAATTCAGGTTCCCTCTTCCCTGGTGACTCTGGTTTGTATCAAGTTGACAAAAACTAACCAGAACAGAGAATAAATGCACTTTGCTTTGCACACACACCTGCTCCCCCTCCAAAAAAGTCCAGAGTCGCCGTGATAATGGCAATAGGACACTGATTCATTTCCATTTTTTCAGACTCCTGCAAGGAAGGGGTTCGTGATGCCTTGCTGCCGGGTGGTTGCCATTGGGCAGACCGGTTACTCCTCAAGCACTATTAACTACAGAGGAAGGCATCTTGGATGCCGTCACACGTTGGCTGCCTAGATGTGGCCAGAGAGGAGAGTGTGGATTCTGATATGTCAAGACACATCTCTCTGTGTTCTCGTGCTGCTGGCTTGCTTCAGCTCCCACGATTCTCTGGTTCTTATTAGTCCAAGATGAAGTAAACCACGTGACTATTTCAACACAAACTTTTAGACTTTCTAAATATTCGTAAATGATCATGAAGTCTGGGGCTCGGGGAGCATGTGTTTGCAAGGGGAAGCAACAACAGCCCCAAAGGGGCCCAAGCTCTTTCTTGTGGGATTGAGCTTTCCATTTCAAGCCTTGACGAACGTGTATACAGATGGTGCATATGCAGGGCACTGCCTGTCTGTGCTACTAGTGTTTGTTTCATGGGGTGGTGATTAGGAAAAAAATGTCCAAAGTCTCCTTCACAGGCCAAGCAGAGGTTGTGAATCACTTGCTTAGGGAAGGCATAGCCCATATTATTTGTTAAGGTGTTTCGGATGGAGCAGGTAAACAAGGGAAAGGAGTGATCTTAGGGACTTCCTGGAGTCAACTGTTATAGACACAATGTGATACAGACAGATAGGATCTGCCTTGCTCGTTGTTGGTATTTAACTAGACAGAGACAGAAAGGAGGCTCATATAAGTAGGTAAATATGCTCATAACTACAATAAATAGTGGCAGGGGCCTGACAAGTCTACAACTTCCCTTTAGGTATCAAAATCTGCATGTTTTAGCCCCTTCCATGAATTGGCACAATAGTTGAATGAGGCCTGTCCCCATCCTACTGGATCATCTAAGCCATATCATCTACTTATCATCCTTGCCACTGTGTACCTGCCACATAAATGATTGTTATATTGTTTCCTTAGGGAATAATAAAGCAAGAATGTCAGAACATGTTAGATACAGGTATACAATGAAGTATTTTTGATCCTTGCTTGTTTGAGCCTAGATACAGAAGGTCCGTCTACTCAGAGTGGACTCTCCTGATTGGCTAGTTCAACATGTGAAACCAACTATGGATCTGAGATCACCAAGAATGAGGTGGGAGGAACATGTCACTGAAGGCTGTTTCCTGGGCCTGTGCACATATATAAACACATGTTATATAGCTCATTTGTCTATATAGGCAATGTCTATACTTGTATGCATGCACTCATGCACACACACACACACACACACACACACACACACACACACACACACACAAACACCCAAAACAATCTTCAGTGGTATTTTTTCTCCATGTCTTCAGTTGTCTTGGCTCCCCACAAAATGCCATTGAGGAATCATTCCTAAATCACTTCCCCACTCCCACATATTTCTTCTCCATGGAAAAGAAGTCTACTCATGGAATTTCATGCATATTTCATTTCCTGACTGGATGAGCCCAATGCTTGTCCATTGATTTCTCTGGAGCCATGTTAACTGTGCCCTTCTTCATGGTGGCAAATGTCTGTGGTGAGAGACTTAAGAGGAGAAGTTACTTAAGCACACAGTTTCTAAGGTTTCAGTCCACGGTCAGCTGGTTTTGGACCTGCAATGTCTCAGATCTTAGTGCAGTGTTTGGGGGTGGGGCACAGTTGCTCACAGAATTCTGGACACAAAGCCAAGAGGCAGTGACTCACCCCATTTAACATCCTGGTTCTCTCTTGTGTGCTCCAGTGGGTCCCCCTGTCTATAGCAGCATGCTTCCTCATGTCCAGGGGAGATTGCCTGCTCCCAGTAACTCCTGTCTGAAGTCCCATTGCAGACACACTCGGATGTGTGCTTTCCTTATCTCCTTGGGGCTTTTGAAGACAACCCAGCTGGCACACAGCCTTGGCCATTGCCAAATCCCAGATGCAAGGAGCAGAGTTATGGTCACACAAGGTGAAATTTCAGTCTGTGTGGCAGCTTGCCCACAATTCCTATTGGTCAGTTTCCATGCGTCCTCCACACAAAGACCCCCCTGACATAGAAGCTTGCTTTTTCCGCTCAAGCCAGGGACTTGTCGGATAGGTAAGAACAAGTCAAAGGCAAGTTCCCACCCATTGTCATGTCCGGAACAGAATACCCCCATCTTTAAGTTCCCATGCCCAGCTGACATGCAGAGGAGGGCATCACAGAGGGGTGCACATGCCCAGAGTGAGGGGCCACTGGGGACCACAATGAAGGTTCAGGAAAAGATGGTCTACAGATGGAGGAAGGGCAGGATGTGAGGGTGAGGACATAGACAGCGAGAGGAGAGCTGGCATGTCGAGAAACCGCTTCTGAGAACATGACCACAGGGACAACACTGTCATGTACGGTTAGAAGTGGCATGTTGGAACCACACCATGATGACACCAGCGAGCCTCTTCATCACCGCCGTCTGAAGTCAGGGTGTCCACATGAGAAAAGCTCATTAACTCCTCTGTCAGGAAGTCCTCAGTTTTCACTTTTTACAGTGACTAAGGATTGAACTCAGAACTCCATGCATGATAGGTTAGTGCTCTACCACTGAGCTACATGCCAGCCCACACCAGGAAGCCCTAGCAGAGGCATGGCCCACAGATCGATCCAGGGTCTCCAGCCTCTGAACTCCAGTCAGTGTTCGTTGATCCTGTTTCTCACCACCCATGCAGGTATTGTGAAGTGATCTGGGGTGACCATCACCCAGCCTGGGTTGAGGCTCCCTCTGTATCCACAGCTCCTGTGGCAGAAGAACTCCACTGATTTTTTTTCCAGAAGCCCAGAAGTCAAGTGGCTGATTAGGTTAAGCTATCTCCACCTGAGCACACAGCCGCCCCTACCCCCAAATCCCAGAGCTGATTGCTTTCTGTGTTCACAGGTGGGTTTTTAGCAAAATGAGTAATGAGATCTCATCTCTAAATCCCTTCCCCCTGGAGACTCACCAGGGAATCAGCTGGTCCGAGAAGAGCCCCTGTGGCCTGTGTTTTGAAACCGGTGTTGAAATTCTGCTCTCCATGCCTTGTTCTTACCCTTGCAGCCTCCTATGTGGAGACAGCTACCCATTGACCTGTCTTCTCCTGTGTCACTGAAGAATTGGCCAACATGGGCCACCCTTTTTCTCTGGCTTTATCAGACACCAGATAGTGCCACCGAAAGCCAAACTGAAATTGGGAAGACATGTTTCTGGGGTGGCCTTTTCTTTCAAAAATCACTTCCCCTGCATACTCTGCCCTTCTGGGTAAACAGTGTCTACACTGT